ACCTTGTAATTAAAAAAAAAAAAATAGAACAATATTTTCACAGTAATATTTGATTGTTTGATTTTTAGTAGGGACTTTGGAAACTCATGGGGGAAATATTTGTAACTAATTCATTCCTTCACTTATTTTAAAACAAGCATGCATTCAATAAGTGCATGCACGTTCTGCTCCAGGTACTTGGGTTAGAGTAATTAAAAAAACAAACATAAAAAAAATCACAAATCAAAATTACAAAATACTACACCCCCATCCCCCACACACAAACCTTTGGGGGAAGGATAAGTGGTGCAAATAAATGATCAATTTAAACTATAACAAATAACCATCTCTAAAAGTAACTAGGAAATGAATTGCTACTTGGAAATATTTTCATGTATAAATAGTTTTTAAACAGTTATTGTAGATACAAATGTCTAGAATGCAATTATTTGCCCTTTCTCCCCAGGTGAGAGTTTGTATTCAATGACCATATGGCCTGGAATTCTATTGTTTATTATTTCGTTTGCACTGTAAATTCTGTTCAGTTCAATGTATTAAATCAAGTCTCTCTAAACTGTTTATTATATTTCCAACTAGCTTTTCCTCTAATAAGGGAAAAAAGATGAAGAATGGGCTACAGGAAGAAGGGAAATGGGTCCCAAAAGATTATGAAGTCATAGAGATCAATTTTACCTCCTGAAGTCTTTGCTGGGATGCTAACTTCTCCAAGCAGCCTCCATGCTGACTGCATCTAGCACTGCATCCTGCCCCTTGCTCCTAGGTCTTGCTCTCACCCCTTTATCCTCATCTACTTTCTTTTGCAGCATCTATCACTAAATTTTATCATCATAGGTTATAAAATTTGAGCATATATTATGCTTATTGCTTATTGCTTGTTTCTGCCAGCTGAAATGTGTGCTCTGTGAGGACAGGGAAATTTATTTTGTCCATCGGTATATTTAAAGTGCTTAGAAAAGTTCCAGGGCATAATAGAGGCTCAAATATTTGTGGCAAAACTCCTTTCCCTGAGGTGGGGTGTGGAGTGGGGGTGGGGTGGTGGAGGGAGGGCATTGGTGGGAAAGAATAAAGAGTGACCTGAAGCTGCCAAAGATTTTAAAGATAAATATAATAAACAAGGAATCTTAAATATTTTGGATAAGTCATTGGAATCCAGTGTGAAAGTTTTAGTGGAAGTGATTATTTCCTTTCATGTCCTACTGTCTTATTTTTATTTCATCCTCCCTCCAGGGAGCATGTTGGGTTGATCAGTTCAGGAAGCAAAGCTTAAAAGATAAGGGAGCTTATTTTATTAAAAGGAAAACTAGGGAAAAAAAGAGTGCCTTGACTCATGGTTAGGGGAATAGGAAGTGGTCATTCCTTTATTTTATTTAGAGGGACTTTGTATTCTGTTTGTACGTCATTTACGTAATGGGTGCTATGGACTGGTGCTTCCAAGAAACTGAGACTGTTAAGGATATGTATGTCATTTGATTTACCCCAAGTGGAAGAAACAGAATAGGGCACAGTGAGAGCATGAACTAATTTGCACTTTATTATATATTTAGTTAAAATCAATTTATATTTTATTAGGATGCCCTAAATCAGAGACTTTGACTTATCAGTCTGTAGGGCAATGCTGTTTCATAACAAGATATTAGTGACAACGTGAGAAAAATTAGCCTATCCAAGTCCTTCAGATCGGCAACTCCACTTCCAGGCATTTATCCTATTTTACACAGAAACCTAAATTGTTCGCTACAAAACGTTCATAACAACATTGTTTGCACTTGTGAAAAATAAGAGCAATCTAAATATCTACTAAAACTTTAATATGTGGACAGAATACAATTTTATGCAGTCAAGGTGGAGAAATACATTTAAAAATAAACGGATGCCTATCAAATAGTAAGTCAAGAAAGGGGGTTTGAAAGCAGTATAATCTAGTGTGTGTTATTTATACAAGTATATTTGAGCATGAACAAGTTGAATATAATATTAATAGTGGGTATCTCAGGACAGTGGAAGATTTTTAAAAAGTTTTTTTCTTACACAAACGAACCCTGACTTACCATGATCTGACTTAAGATTTCTTTGACTTTGTAATGGAAGGAAAGCAGTATGCATTCAGTAGCAATCACATTTCAAATTTTGGATTTTGATCTTTTCCCAGGCTAGTGAAGCTGGGCAGTGGCAGTGAGCTCAGCCAGCCACGCAGTGGCGAGGCTGAACAGCTGGTACGCTACAGTGCACTGTTGCCAGCATTTTCCAGATCCTGTAGCCCATAAATTACATGCGATGTTCAATACTTTATTATAACACAGGCTTTGTGTTAGATGATTTTTTTGTCCAAATGTAGGCTAATATAAGTGTTCTGAGCACATTTAAGGTGGGCTGAGTTAGGTGTGTGAAATGCATTTTCAACTTAAATATTTCAACTTATATTTTCAATTTATGATGTTTACTGGGACACAAGCCCATCATAAGTCAAGGAGCATCCGTATTTTGAATTTTTATACAAATAGAGATTAAACGCATAGGTATATAATAGCATTTATCAAAAGATAAGTCAGTGTTTGTAGATTATACTGTTATGATTTTGCAGATATGTCACTGACTTTGAGTATTAAAAAGATTTGAGGTTTTTGAAGATGTGTTTGTGTATGTGCCGCATAAGGGAGAAGGATTTCACATCAAATTTTTTAATATATAGATATGGGAAGTACGATGGCCGTTCATAATATATAAGTTTTCAACTGCTTAGAACATGCTTTTGCACTTTATCTCTTTACACCTGTGGCAGATGGGTTATATAATTGCTCCCATTTTAGAAAAGACGGTTTTTAATGCTCAGGTGCTTTATTTGATTTGTTCAAGTTCATTTGGATTGTGGGCTCTGAAACTGAAATTTCTGTGCCTCCAAAATTATGCTCTTTTGTTGTTGTTTTCCCCCCAGTTGCACTGCTATGCATAACTGACAGCAAATAGATGGTATGCTCTGAAGGACACAGGGTTTTTCAAGACCATCTCCATCCCACTTGGACCTCAGACATGCCACTCTTTGGAGCTGTTCCCTTGAACAGACGTTGGTAAAGCCACGGGCAGCAGCTGTCATGGCATAGCTCCTGAGGAAGAGAAAGTGGTGGTGACTCCCTGTGGCCGCCCTTGGCAGCATTGAAGGAGCTATTTCGAGCTCCTGTGTTGAAAGCTTACCTAAGAATAGTGGCTAGTTTCTCTCGTATTCTCCTGGCAGCATACAAGGATTTAGAAGATTTGGACTGAGAGTCCGAGATTGATGTCCAAGCTCCACGTATTTTTGTGAATTTAACTTCGGAAATGGTATTTGGGAACTTGTCATTTCTCTTCTACAGCTGGCAGTATTTTGGACAATAGATTTTTTCTTCCCCTTTGGACACTAGTTTGAGAAAAATAATCCAAATCCTATCACAATAGATGTATGTATGCACTCTGGACAACTATTAACGGTTACTCTAAAGCCCTTTCATTAACACTGTGTATATTTTGAGCTACTGTATGTAATAAGCTAAGGAGATGCTAGGAGATGTTTTCAGTACACTTGGCACTCAAACTTTAGTATGTTTAAAGCACAGCTCTTTATCTTATCCCCCTGTCCACCTCCAACAGTCTTTCCCAATTCAGCTACTATCTGAATTGGGACAACTTCTATCCAGTTGCTCAGGCCAAAACCTCAGTTTCATCTTTGTGTCATTTCCTTCTCTCACACCCTCCATCCAGTCTCTCAGCAGATCATGTTGAATTTGCCTTCAGAATATATCCCAATATGGACCACTTCTCACTCCCTTTTTTGCTTCTGCTCTGAACCAAGCCAGCAGCATTTCTTGCCAGAATGTTGGCAATGGCCTTCTAACTGGTCTTGCTCTGTTATAGACCTGTTGGTCCGTTCTCAATGCAGTAGCAGGATTGACCTCTTTAACCAGGTCCGCTAGTCTCAGTGCTCATATCAGCAGTGCCAGGACCCTCCATCTCTTTCTAGTAAATGTCAGTCATTCCAATGCCCAACCTCATGTTGCCTCTCTGATCCGTTCCCTAACAGCTACTCTGCCCTGCCTTGTTCCAACCCCAGCCTCTGCTGCTCCCACAACTCCCCAGGGTGCTCCTGGCTAGCCCTTTGCACGTACGCTTCCCTCTGCCCAGAGCACACTTCCCCGCTGGCTCATGGCTCACTCCCAGAGCTCCTTCAGACTCCACTCAATTTCCGGCTACTCAGTGAGCTTCCAGTTATTGTACTTGAACTCCTTATCCCACTATCTGGCTTTATTTTTCTCCAAACTTACCATTATATGTGTCACTTGTGAGTTTTATGCTCCTTCTGTCTGCCCTCCTGGGATATGAATGTTCCAGGCAATCAGGTATTTTTGTTTACTTTACTAAACACTGCATTCCCAGTGCCTAGAACAATGCCTGACATAGATAGGGACTAAACAACTATTTATTAACTATTTATTAAACCAAAAGTTATTTCTTGGTTGTATTTAATATCAGGTGTTGGATTGAGTATTAAAGTACTATAGAAATGCTAGCCCTGCTAAAATATACTTACCTATGTCCCTTTTTTTTAAATATAATATTTTATTGATTTTTTTACAGAGAGGAAGAGAGAGAGACAGAGAGTTAGAAACATCAATGAGAGAGAATCATCGATCAGCTGCTTCTTGCACACCCCCTACTGGGGATGTGCCCGCAACCAAGGTACATGCCCTTGACTGGAATAAAACCTGGGACCTTTCAGGTGGACAGGCCGACACTATCCACTGCGCCAAACCGGTTTCAGCTACCTATGTCCTTTTAATTTGGAGAGGGGGGTGTGAAATAATTTCCTCTTAACCACTAGACTTTTAAGTACAGCACATCGATTTAAACAAATTTGCCAAAAAGGAGTTATATTTCAGATATAAAACCATTATTTATACAACCATTGTAACTACAGAACCTATTCTTTTATTCCAGCTTTTTTTCATGTCTCTCTCATTTTTGTTTTCCAGAAAAGAGGCCCAGTTAGATGAAGAAGGACAGTTTCTTGTCAGAATAATATATGATGATTCTAAAACTTATGATTTGGTTGCTGCTGCAAGCAAAGTTCTCAGTAAGTTGAATATGACTTTCCTTTGGCTAAGTTACATATACAAGTGCAAAGGAATCCATGGTCCATTATATAGTGACTAGAGCCCCAGTGCACAAATTTGTGTACCAGTGGAGTCATTTGTCCTAGTCTGTGGGAGAGGGACAACATCAGCTCTCTGACACCCCCGAGGGGTACTGGATTGCGAGAGGGGGAAAGGGTTCACGATTGGGGTTGCGGAGAGATGTGAGAGGTTGGCCAGCTGGGAAGAACTATGGGAGGGCTCCAGGGCATGTCTGGCCCATCTCGCTCAGTCTGGATTGGCCTGACCCCAGCAGCAAGCTAACCTACCAGTTGGAGCATCTTCCCCCTGGTGGTCAGTGCATGTCATAGTGAGTGGCTGAGTGGCCTTAGCATATCGTTAGCATATTACATTTTGATTGGTTGAATGGCAGACTGGTCAACTGGACACTTAGCATATTAGGCTTTTACTAGTATCATATAAGATGAACAGGGATGTAGGTTATGCATTGCACAAACCTGATGGGAAGGACATTTATGTATAATGTTAGGCTTAGGTTATGCTCAGTCTGTTTCTTCTTTTATGAACTCTTTAGAGTAGGGGTGTTGAACTCAATCAGAGAAGGGGCCAAAATCTAAAATCCAGCCTAAATCGCGGGCCAAATGGTTTACTGAACAGTCATAAAGTGTCATTGTGATGGAAACGCAGCGGAGTGCAGTGATGACAGCGCGGTGCGGGCCACATTGGAAGGCCTGGCGGGACGGATTTGGCCCGCGGGCCTTGTGTTTGACACATGTGCTTTAGAGAATAGAGGTGCTCTCTGCCCCTCCCCACAAAAAGCCATATGTTGGAGAAGAAAAAAACAATTATTGCTCCTTAATGTAATAAGTTCAATAATGTAATAACACATTACTATGCCAGCAGCACAGAATTGCACAAGTGTAATAATTACTACATTACTGCATTATGAAATGCAGAAAATATAACTCCCAAATCTCTTTTATAATAAGTTTTGTTAGCTATTGGTAAAAGAAACAGACAAAACTTATGCAATGACGGCAAAGTTAAAAAATAGCTTTATGAAAAGTCTTTCTGAAAATAGTTTCTCTTATTCTTAGAGTAATTGGATAGAATAGAAATAAGCTTTTAGCTTTGCCAAATATAACGAGTAGAGCAAATGCCATCTATTGCAGAATATAAGAATTACAAAGAAAAATGGTAAATTGTTAATAAGAAGAAAATATTCAATCTCATTTGTAATCAAAATTGAAATAAGTATGATTTTTTCATATAAATTTGTCAATTTTTGAAAATTAAATATCTAGTGTAGAGTTTAAAAATAAAACAGACACTTAAAAAATAAACACTTGAAGAATTTTTCTGATGGAAATTATTAGTTTTATTTGCATTAAGATTTATGTGCTTTCACTTCAGAGTTACTTATAGTATCAAAAATTGGGAAAACACACATTTTCAATAAGGGGATTGATTAAATAAAATGTTGCATCTCTATGTTGAGTGAGGTAGTGATTGAAATTACAGAAAAAATCTTAAAGTTTTAAGAAATAGTAATTGGATATAAACAAAAAGCAGGATATTGGGGTACATACTATATGCAACCAACTTATTAATATGTGTATTTAGACAAAGAAAAATCCTTTTACACCAAAATATTATCATGTGCATTCTAGATGATTTTCAGGATCTTCCTGTATTTTTCAGGAAAAAAAATGTTCTAAAATAAATATACATTTGAAAATGCTTAAAATTAATTAACTAGTTTGTCATGGAAGCTGAGAACTGACTGCTTTGCTATTAAGTACAAATGTACAGTATTAGCATGGCAATATATTCTCTTTGCAGATTTTATTGTATTGTCCTGGCCAGAAATTTTTCATGTGATGTATATTCACTGGGCACAAAAATTGAGGATCTTTAACATTTTGTTAATATGCACTTATCTTCCTTCTTCCCATTAATAATAGTCTATGTATAATATGTTTTGTTTTTATTATTCTTTCAAACCTATAAAATAGACCTCAATGCTGGAGAAATCCTCCAAATGTTTGGGAAGATGTTTTTTGTCTTTTGTCAAGAATCTGGTTATGATACAATCTTGCGAGTGCTGGGATCTAATGTCAGAGAATTCCTACAGGTAAGCGATTTGAGGTCTTGTTAAAAGTGCTGAATTCATGATTTTTAAACATAGATTCTAGCATCCTGTTGTTGAGTCAGCTGCATGAGAGTGTCTTGCTGCTGAAATGGAATCAGTGACATTTTTTTTCCAATTCAATAACATAATAGCTATTAGGTCTTGAATACATTTTTAGCATTTTTGCTTCATATTTTTTCTTCAACTTTTGATTGCTATAAATATGCAAGTTGTAAATTAATGTTCTTTGAAAAACTCATCATGGCCTATTGTGGTATAGCCAACTGCCTTTTAAAAAATGTTTTAATTGATTTTAGAGAGGAAAGGAGAGAGGGAGAGAGAGAGAGAAACATCAATGATGAGAATCATCGATGGGATGTCCCTTGCACATCCCCTAATGGGGATCGAGCCTGCAACCCGGGCAAATGCCCTTATTGGGAATTAAACCATGACCTCCTGACTTACAGGTTGATACTCAACAACTGAGCCACACTGGGCAGGCCCAACTGCCTTTTTTTTTTTTTAATGGTCGTATTTGATACTAGTTTTGGTTTTATGTAGGCTCTATAACATGGTCTTCTTCTTATTATTATTATTTTGCTAAGCATTCCTAGTTTGTATAGCATAATCAAATAATGTCAGTATCTATGACTTTCTACCCAGAGCTTGTTGTTTAAGAAAAAACGTGCTGGCTTTCAGGTGCTCTGCCACCAAGCAAATCTGAGAACCATAGCTGTGAGTTACATATTAATCAATCTACTAGAGAGAGGGAAGTAAGAGACCTTGCAGAGGCAATGTCAGGTGCAGGACAAGATAAATAACGTCACCAAAGGCCTTCGTCTTATGTTCCTGCTAAAATTACCTTACAAGATTTTCACTAGGGAAGCACACATTGGACTCAAGACTATTTTTGGATTGTCTGTCCTATTTTAAGCAGAGGCCATTTGTGAGACCTTCTTCTTGATGTGTTAATGTTGAAAATTATGTGGTTGTTTGTAAAGGATATTTCCAAACTGGCTGCTGAGAGCCGCCAGATCTTGCTGGAAAATGATGTCAGTGCAATAGTAGCTGAACCGAAGCCCAGTTTCGTGGGAATGTAAACGACTTCCAGTCCAGCTGCATTATTGATTTAACAGCCAAAATAAGAACTTCGGTGCTTAATCAAAATGTCTGTTGTTTACACAGTGACATTTTTCTTATAAACTTAAAACTGCAATAAATCAAGATGGAAACTGATTTGCAATCGCCTGCCACAGGTTTACCTAACTACTGGTGTCCAACTACGCTGCCACTTCCAAATGGAGTGGCTGCCAGGAGACGTGTAAATTAAATGGGAACAGGCTGTATTTCAGTGAATTATGTTAAATGGATTCAAGGGAGATATTTGGAAGTATTTTAAGACTTTGGATTTTGGAATACATCTTCCTTTTTTTAAAAAAATATATATATTTTATTGACTTTTTACAGAGAGGAAGAGAGAGGAACAGAGTTAGAAACATCGATGAGAGAGAATCAATCAGCTGCCTCTTGCACACCCCCTACTGGGGATGTGCCTGCAACCAAGGTACATGCCCTTGCCCGGAATCGAACCTGGGACCTTTCAGTCCACAGGCTGACGCTCTATCCACTGAGCCAAACTGGTTTCGGCTTTTTTTTTTTTTTTTTTTTTTTTTTTTTAATACTGTCACCTTATCAACAAAGTCTGGATTTGCTTTTTTCCCATCTTAATTCCTCTCTTGCTCTCAATGGTGACATTTACATAGCACAATAAATGTCCCAATTGCTTTTGTTGTACTTTGGCTCCTGGTGGCCACCTGTTCAGGTCGTCATGGTGCCATGAGAAAGCAAGCTGCCTCTGTGTGCTCCTCTCTGTTCCAGGCTGCACTGTTCCAGGAGGATAGCCATAGCCATAGCCACATGGAGCTGGATTCTGAGAGTTCTACCCCTTTTCTCCATTGTCTCGTCTCTCTCATGACTCCTCCAGTCTCTTCTCCATTCGATGACTAGAGTGATTTTTCTGAAATGCAAATATATTTCATCATACCATTAATTTTTTTTCTCTAAAACTCTTCAGTGATTCTCCATTGCTCACTGGGAAATGTAAAAAAATAGTTAAAATGATTGAAACTACTTACATTCCCTATACATTCTGCCTCTTCCCCTTCTGCAGCCGAGCCAAGCATAACTTTTTTTTTTTTTTTATCTTGCTCTCCTTATCCTCTGAGCTTTTGCATCTGCTCTTTCCTTCATCTGGAACACTGTTCATGTTCCTTTTCACCTCGATAAATTCTGTTTATCTTGCTGGTCAAATTACTTCTTCTGGGTCATTGGCACTTCTCATGTTTTCATAGTATATTTATTTTCCCAGCCTAGTTGTTCTCATACTGTATCATCCCTTCCTGTTTGTTGGGCTGGAATGTAAACTTCATGAAGTCAGAGACCATGTTTAATCTCTTAATGATGGTATCTCCACAGATACAATCTGTCTATCTGGGAATGAATATATGTCCTTCTTCCTTTTTTTTTTTTTTTTTTTTAAGGAAGATTCGCTCTTTGTGTAAAAATAGGAAGCAAATGTGACTGTAGCTCAAGACTAGATATTTTATTGAGAATAACAAAACCCCTTTATAGATGAAACTATGTAACTTTATTTAGAGAAAAATCATAGATTGAATATAGAGGATTAGACAGCCACACACTGGACTGATTTCCTTGAGTCAGAAGCTTTGAGTATTGGCTATCATGGATAAGATGATATATAGCTTTGAGGAATGAAACCCAAGTCAGTCCACAGCAGAACTACCAATTCATTTTTAGTGGTATTTCATTATTTCATTATATGTTCTTTACCTACCCAGTGATTTCACAGAGGTGAAATGAAATTAAAGGAAGCATCGAAGGCTGCCAATGCAATCTGAGAGAAGAGTTCGAGTTTAAATTATGGGCCTGTTTAAATAGGCATAGAAATCTCAGTTGAATCATACTGCAAATATTCTGTCAGAGTTTGCTGGAAACACTGGCCCATTCAATGGGCAGTTTCACCCATTTTCTCAATTCATATATATTTTTTGCTCAATCTGCCCCTTCTCCCCAAATGTATATACTTCTTTGTAATGTGTATATATAATATGTGGGGGTTCCTCTGGCAGGGCCTCTGTGTGGCCTGCAGTGGGACTTCCAGGTCAGGACAGCTCCAGGTTTTGGCCTCCAAAACACAACACCGTGGCCAACCCACCAGGAACAATCGAGATTGATGACCAATCTAAAATCTTAAATGTTTGTCCAAAGTGTTATTTTGGGAAATGTGAGGATTTTTCCTGAACAGCTGTGAAATTCTAATACTTCCCTAAATTATTTACAGTGTTTCTTATAAAAAAAATGCTCCATCCATTTTATTTTTAACTTTTGGGTTTCCAAAGGCCCTGTTTTTTTCAACATCCAAAATGTTAATTTCTGTAATCGGCAGTTTTTAAACAGACAAGTGAGGACTTTAAAGGAAGATAAGTATTTGAGTATATATTTTCATAATATTGATTGTCAAATATAGTAAGTATATAAGTGTGATTTTTTTTTAAAAAAAACACATGAATGTAAGAGCTATAGCATAAGTGAAATATTTTACACAGGCAATTCTATAATCACTTGTCCTTTTTCTTTAAAACATTTCTCTTGAGAAGATGGTAATGATAGCTATATGTAATTCAAAGTGTTATTATTTAAAGAATTTTAGTAACTGGTATAATTTTTTTTTAATTGGGCCTTGCATTATTTCTTAAAAGAAAAAAAATATATTTTCTGTATCTTTCCAATGGGAGGGCTATTTCTCAAAGAGCAGCTCCAAGGAGTAAAGGCAGGAACAGGAGCGTTAAAGTGTGAACTTTCTGATTCTGGCCTCATGCTGCCCACACCCTGACCTTGGTGCTGACCATTCTGTGGGTTGTGTTTTCCACTTTATTTAGGTCTTACTTGCTTAAATTTCTCATGTTCAAATTCTAAGATGACTCCTTTCTTATAAAACTTAAAATAGTTGTCAAATTACATGACTCTCACAAGTATCATAAATGTTGGTGTTGGTCTTGTTTTTCAGAAGTGCAAGGAATAAAAAGAAAGGAAATGTTGTGTCCCATTCTTTTTCTTTAAAAAAAAAAAAAAAAAAAAAAAAGGAGGTTTGCAAGGATTGATCTTAAGATTTCTTCCAGATCTATACACCAGTAATGTTCTCAAATAACAGATATCTCCCGCTTTCCCATCCTCTCAGATTCTTAGAGACTGAAACATCTCTCTGTCTCAAAACTTTCAAAGCAAAGTTTTACTCTGCCCACTTATGTGGATTTTAGGGATTTTTAATAAATGCCCTGGAAGCAGGAAAAAGAAGTAGCTAAGTTCTAGAAATTCTGCCTCTGTAATTATGTATGCACTCCTCTTTGCCCTGCATATTACCAAGAAAATTTGCATTTAGGTAGAAACATTCCGAGATCTTTGAACCTGTAGAACTTCAGTGTTTCTCAGAGGAAGGATACATTCTCTATGGTTGCCTACATCTGTGGAATGTGCTATGTGGAGAACTCCATACAGTGTCCCAGATTGCCAACACTCGTTTTTTATCTGCAAATGATAAGTGCTAGGTGACAAGATGAACTGAGAAAAAGTACATTTATTTTGCATGTCAGAAAACCAGTAAAATTATATCAGGGCATTAAGAAATAAAATGAAAGCCTTGGAGTAACTTTTTGGCATCGTGAGGCAAAAAAAGATAGTGGGCCTGCTCTCTAGCCTTTCCCGTTTCCTAATTTCATAAAGCTGAGAAAAATGAAAGGGAAGCACATTTGAGGTTTTCTTTATTGACTCTTGGGAATCTACTTGTGCTGGAGTATATGTGTTCACTTTGTTTTCTTATATTTAATGTGTATACTTCCTTTTAAAATTTTTTATTTTTCCCATCACCATTTATCTTCCTATGCCCTCTTCCCCTTCCACCCCCTCCTCCACCCCAGCCATCACTGTTGTCCATGTCCATGAGTCCTCTCTCTCTCTCTCTCTCTCTCTCTCTCTCTCTCTCTCTCTCTCTCTCTCTCTCTCTTTTTTGCTCAATCTGCCCCTCCCCATAATGTATATACTTCTTTGTAACATGTATAGTTCTTCTTTGTATACCTGCTTCCTTGGTATATTTAAAACAACAACAACAACACACACAATACCAATTTTAATATGAAACTTTTATTCTCCAGAATACATTGCTACAGCCATGTGGATGAACAATTCGCTTTGTATAAATCATATTATAAAATGTAGTCAAGTTTTTACCCAGGCTATTTTGAAAATCTTTTTTGTTGCCTTTGATGTGGCTGCAAACGATTCTAGTCTAACTATGGTGAAGGTACATTTTTAGCAATATAAGTGTATGCAAATGAAAATAATTTAATTTTTAATCACAAATTCCATTTCTCACGTTAGATAGGCTGTGGCAATCACTTCAATTTTGAAAGAGTAAAACCAAGTAAGGAAAGCTGTAACTTAAGAAACCCCAAGAGTGTTTTTATATTAGATGCTATCTAAAGAAAATCAATATCGCATTAAGTGGTATTAAAGCTTCCATGTTGCAGGAAAGCACTTCACTTGTCCACTTAATTAAGAGTAAATTCAATAAAACAGTAAATCTCTGGAGAGTTGGTTACTGCAAAGATTAAAAGATGAACATTCTGATTTCAAATGTTTTGCTTTCCCACTTGTTTTGAAGCAATAAATTAAGCAACATGCTATTAGCAACACTTATACCTTTATTTAAATAAAAATGGCTCAGCATTTAGGCTGAAGTGCCTATCTTTTTTGTTGTTTAATTTAAATTTTGTAAAAATTAATTTTTGAGAGAGAGGAGAGAGAGAGAGACTGAGACTGAATTATTGTTCCATTCATTGGTTGCTTCTTGTATGTGCCTTGACAGGAGGTCAAACCCATGACCTTGGCTTATCAGGACTATGCTCTAACCAGATGAGAAACACGGCTAGGCCTAAAGTCTCTATCTCTTTGTGACTCTTAGCTACATGTAAGAAATGTGCTCATATAATATGAACAAGATGAAAATGGATGAGTATGAAAATTATATAGGCATATTGACTTGTGATATAAATGCTTTGAAGAGAGAAAATTGAAAAAAAATATTATTAAAATACATTTTTCAAATTAGTGGTTGAGTTTTCTTTTCCTTTAAAATGAGCCACAACACAGTAGCTGAACCCAAGGACAATGCAGCCACAAGCTCAATTTTGATTTTGTGGGAAATGGAGATAAGTAAAAACCTCGGTGATTTTTTCCCCTCACCAGATTTTCTCTCATAAAGTTTTGTTGTCGTTGTTGTTAATTCTCCTTCGAGGACATTTTTCCATTGATTTGTAAGGCGAGTTGAAGAGAGAGGGAAAAACAGAGAGAAACCTTGATTTGAGAGAAACGCGTTGATTGGTTGCCTTGTACATTCGCCCCAACCAGGACCCAGGCTGGGGAGGAGCCTGCAACCAAGATAGTGACCTTAACTGGAGTAGAACCCTTGACCCTTTGGTCTGCAGGCCAACGCTCTACGCTGAGCCAAACCAGTCGGGGCTCTCATAACCTTTTTTGCAACATCAGCAGATAGGATCTGGTTGGGTTATGTGTTCAGATCTTTCCTTCTCAGAAAACAATTACCTTGAGAAGAACTTGTCATAGGAAGAACCCTTTGTACTTCTTAACCAAGTAAAATAGTTTTGGGACTCAAGAGGCTTGAAGTTTATATATTAACTTCTAATACTTAGTGTCTGTCATATTTTACATGACAATAGCAGCCCCTGCAGGCAATGCAGATGAACTGATGTTTTTGCTGAGGTCTTGGGAGGCCTCCCTCCACACTTGCATATAAATCTCCTACATGTCAGAACCTGGAACCAAGTATCATTCTCATGCCACCATCTCTTTGACCTTTGTCTTTACACTTCTCTGTCCCTATAACCAGGAAAAGGTCCTGGCTTTTAAGATCTCAGTCACTATTATGATTAGCTGGGTCCACCAGGATCATGTAGGACCTTCTTCCCAATTCAAGATCCATAACCTTAATGCCATCTGCAAAATCTCCTTTGCCAGGAGAGGTATCATATTCAAAGGGATTATTAGGGCATGGAAATTTGGGGGAGCACTGCTATTTTGCTTACTGCACCTCGGATGTGTTTGTATTTTATATACATCATTTTAGTTATCTCTGTTTTATCAAAAAAAAAATCAAGTTTTAGAAAAATTGGGTAAGCTGCTATGTTACCATGAAATGATAATGTCATGCATTTACAGCTGCCCCAAACCTATAAATACTTGTATCTTTGCTTTAGCCCTAACTGTGTTCCTTTTTTCTGCTTTAGGCATTCTTTTTATACCCCGCTCATTTATTTATCTTCTCTTAAAATGCATTAACTATTAATAGCCACGGATGTTTGTTTTAATTACTGTACTAGAGTTTCAAGTTCTCTGTGGTTCTTGTCTTACAGATGTCTCAGTGCAGCAAGGGAGGGGCGTAAATGTTTACTCACTAAGCTCAGATTGAGCTTTCTGTCTTTATCTTGCTTTCCAGGAGCCAGCAGCCATTGTGGGAGTATTATTTATTCATCAGCATTTCCTCTTCATTGCAGAACCTCGATGCTTTGCATGACCACCTTGCTACTATCTACCCAGGCATGCGTGCACCTTCCTTTAGGTGCACTGATGCAGATAAGGGCAAAGGACTCATTCTGCACTACTACTCAGAGAGAGAAGGACTTCAGGATATTGTCATCGGAATCATTAAAACAGTAGCTCAACAAATACATGGCACTGAAATCGACATGAAGGTAATGATCAGCAATGGACACACCTCTAAATAGAGATGGCAGAATATTAAAAGTGAATTTACTTTTAATTCTTGCAGCTAGTGGATCTCTCCAGAGGCATATATAAACCATAACACTGGCATCACCAGAAGTCTATGCTTGGCCTTGGAATGCAAGGATATACAGGAATACAGGCTATTTTTTCCCCTTTGTCTCAGCAGATTTTTTTTTTATACATTGCTTAATTTAGTTTGCATTCTCTGTGAGCACACAGAAGCTGAGAAGCAGCTTAGCCAGTCAAATTCTATGATAATATAAAATTAGATATTATATTATTGTACATTGTTTCCTTGTGTTTTATTTTTTGTCTGTGCCTGAAGTTTCATTGGCATATCTTATTTTGTGAACTAAAAGTTTTGCTTTAAAAAAAAAAAATTAGATTACTTGTTGAAAGAAACCAGGTTTCATACTTTAAAAAGGTATTGCTATTGATAATACAGATTGTTAGTTTTAGGTGAGATTTTCAAGATATGAATACAACCCTATGTACAATAATAAAGAGCAAATATGCTAATTAGATTGGACAGTGGAATGACCTTCTGGATGACCTTCCGAACGACCAGTGGGTGGGGCCACAGGGCCACTAGGCAGCCGGCCTGCCAGGGCCAAGCCGCTTGCATGAATTTCGTGCATCAGGCCTCTCATTATGCAATAAAGAGAACCATTTTTTTCTATATTTAATCCAGACAGTCACTCTCAGTGAGCTGTTTTTGTGTGCTCAGCATATTCAGCCCAAAGAGTCATTTTTCAGTGGCCCCAAATTTGAGAAAAGTGGGGAGATGAATACCCTTTTTCAGCCTTATTTTTTAATGTATCCTAACCAACTTGGAGTTCTAATTTTATATACTTGCCAATTGATGGGTAAAAAATGATATTGCATGTATTTTTAAATGTGTGCTTCTATTATTTTATTTTTGTCTGGAAATATTATTTTTAACATGTTAAATAATACTACATGTATAGTTTGTTGGTCATTCATTACAGGAGTGTGCCAGACTGAGAGGCTAAGTGCACCAGGATAAGTGATTGCTTTTCCTCCAATTCTATCAGACTCTGTACTGGCTGAGAGGGGACTGGTAACAGATTTGCAATTTTGCTGTGAATAATTATTCAGTCTTTGAATTTCATAAATAGATGTCCAGACAGTGTTTTCTATTTTAGTCATGTGTAACATTTGCACACATTAAATTTTTCAAATTAACCCTCTAAATGCAATTCTCAAAACTAGTTTCTCAGATACTTAGGCCTTTTTTAAGTAAATTGACATGCAGACAATTAAGACCATTTTCCCGTTTGTCATCCAGGTTATTCAGCAAAGAAATGAAGAATGTGATCATACTCAATTTTTAATTGAAGAAAAAGAGTCTAAAGAAGAGGATTTTTATGAAGACCTTGACAGATTTGAAGAAAATGGTACCCAGGACTCACGCATCAGCCCCTATACCTTCTGCAAAGCTTTTCCTTTCCACATAATATTTGACCGGGACCTAGTGGTCACTCAGTGTGGCAATGCCATCTACAGAGTGCTTCCCCAGGTAAAGGACATCCCCCTTCTTTGGGGACTGAGACAAAAGGCCATAAGGTGCTATTGTTACACGTGAACATTCATTTATGCACCTTTCTACTGTGCATTAGGTGATGTGCAGCACATCGTATGTTACATAAATTGTTAGAATGTGAACATAGTATATTTAAACATAACGCTACGTTTCCTATAACACATATTTTTTCTTTTCTTTTTCTGTTAAAAGCAGGGCAAGTGCTGCCCTGGCTGGTTTTGCACAGTGGTTAGAGCGTCAGCTGGTGGACTGAAGGGTGAAAGATCTTGGGTTCGATTTCTGGTCAAGGGCACATACCTTAGTTGTAATTTCATCCCCAACCCAGTCGGGCGTGTGCGAGAGGCAACTAAGTGATGTGACTTTCACATGAATGCCTCTCTCTCTCTCTGTCTCTCTCTGTCTCTCTCTGTCTCTCTCTCTGTCTGTCTCTCTCTCTCTCTCTCTCTCTCTCTCTCTCTCTCTCTCTCTCATTTCCTCCCTCCGTTCTACTCTTTCTAAAAATCAGAGGAGAAAATACCCTTACATGAGGATTAAAAAAATAAAGCCAGGGCAAGTGGAAATGCTATACTTTTCAAAAATGAGATAAAGGATCAACTTTCACTTATTTATTCATTGAATAAATATTCATTGGATGTCTACTTTCTGAAAATGGTTTTCAAAATCAATCTTTGACATTTTTAGGGAAAATAAGAGAATTTAAAAAACACTAAAACGACAGAGCTTATCATGGCACTTGGTAGAAAAAACGTCAAAGGATAATAATTGAGGCGATGATGAGAATCTGTGTTTGATTGACATTATTCTGACCCATTTGAAAAATCCTTTCTTTCTACCCTACCAACTTTTGGATTGTACATGATATGTATCCAGAAATATTTTTTTTACTTTGTAATTAAAAAGCCTTGATAGTCCAGTATTAGCTCAAATGGGATCAGGTGTAAACCTATAAATCCAAAAGCCTGGGCTTTTATGCTGGCTCTGGCTCTCCCTCATTATGAGCTGAGGTTTGTTACTTGGCCTGGCTCTGACCTTATCCCTTAGAAGCAATCAATAACTGTTTCCTATTACTATTATTAACCGTTTCTTAATAAACTGTATTTGATGATGGTCTTGATATTTAAATTTCATTTTAAGCCACTATCATTTACTAGGTCATGCTACATTTTCAAAGAGAAATTTCCATTCTCCATTGAAAATACTTCGCTCATTTCTATGAGCTTATATTTGAATATTAGTCACCTGAATCCATATTAGGTTTTATGTTCATGAAACTATTTGATGTCTATTTCATCACTGAGTTGCATAGGTCAAGATATGAGTCCATAATTGGGGTAACTTTCCTACAAAATAATATATTACTGTGCTTATATGTAATTGAGCAGATTAACCTGATAATCTAAAATAAACAATGTTTTAAATAAGTGTTCCTTTCCTTTTTATCTACATTTTAGCTCCAGCCTGGCACTTGCAGCCTTTTGTCTGTCTTCTCTCTGGTCCGTCCTCATATTGACATTAGTTTCCATGGGATCCTTTCACACATCAATACGGTTTTTGTATTGAGAAGCAAGGTAAGCAAGATGTTGTTTTATTAAATGTGAGTAAGTAAGGTGTGTTACATACTAGAAGTGTTTTTTGGGGGTTGGGAAAGTAGCTACTATGACATTCTAGAAGATGGAGGAGGTATAGTGAGATCAGAAGCAAACTTCAAAAGGAGTCCTATTTCAAAGGCGACACTGTTGATTTTTCATTTTCCCAAGGAGCAATGGGACTCTGTCACCTGGTCAGAATTAACAAAAGTACCTGTTGAGAATGCCTCGATGGGACAACCCCACTTTACATATTAAACCAACATCTTTTAGTCCCAGTATAGCTATGAAGTCCTATTTTAGAAGTCAGAAGAACTGATAAAGACTTTAAAAAAAAAAAATTACCCACTTTCTTAAAGTGTCTGTTATTCTTGGTTCCATTTTTTGTGATGGAAATAGGAGTGATAAAATATTCATTCAGTTGATACTTTGGGATTGATAGAGCAAAAGTGTCCTAAAGTACATACTTCATCCTTCTTACAGCCTTCCCAAAGATCCTGTGTACACATACCTTCTCTATTTGGAACTATTCCCAGTTGCTCTGTAAATGCAGGAGTGAAATGTTTTTTTTGTGTGTGTTTTTTTTTTAAGACAGGGATTTATGTTGTAGCCATACTGGAAAATCAGAAATAATCATGGGAGCTTTAGATAAATATGTGAACAATAGTACACCTACTGGCTTTCTGTGCTCACAGAGAATTAATTCAGTTATTTGCAGTGTTTATAAGGGAACCACTATGCTTATGCCCTGGCAGAACTCTGGTGAAATCCCTTCCTTGTTCCAATTGTTGCACTTATTCTCCCTTAGGGTTTGGTGGGAAATGAGGTTTTGTGTCCTTCCTTTTGCTGGATTGTTAGGTAGGGAGAAAGGCACTAGTTAACAGTTATGTCTTGCCTTTTCAAGGAAGGATTGTTGGATGTAGAGAAATTAGAATGTGAAGATGAACTGACTGGGACTGAGATCAGCTGCTTACGTCTCAAGGGTCAAATGATCTACTTACCTGAAGCAGACAGCATACTTTTTCTGTGTTCACCAAGGTAATGCTTTTTAGATTAATTATAATACATATACTTGTAAGAACCCATCTTTAGCTAAACTTTATCTTTTTATTGACTGCTTTCATTGGTCTAATTCTATATTTATTTGCTATCAGTATAGTTTTTTTTCTTCTGCCTCTTTCCAAGTAGAGCTTTTATAGTCTGAGAGCTTCTCAACAGGAACAGTTTCTATTCATGGTGACAAAGGTTTCTATGGAAACAGAAGCAGACAATTTGGAGTCTATTTCTTAAGTGCCATCTGCAGAAATCGGTTGCATAGTGACACACATGCAGATTGCTATGTGGTACCAGTCCCTGTGTGAAGAAAGACGTAGTCACCTTGAACTTTAAGAAAGAGATCAACTAAGAGCAGTTTTACTTCTAAAATAATTTCAAAAGAATTAGTGGAAATTTAGAAAAAAATGTTGGGATAGTTCCTCAAAATAATAAATATTTTTTAAAATAAGTGAGAAATAATTCGATTGTTTTTAACTCAGTCTGAACATTCATAACCATTCATTTTTAAAATATATTTTTATTGATTTCAGAGGAGAAAGGAGCTGGGAAGAGAGAGAGAAACATCAGTGATGAGAGAATCATTGATCAGCTGCCTCTGCACACTCCCTTACTGAGATCAAGCCTGCAACCTGGGTATGTGCCCTTGACCAGAATTGAACCTGGGACCTTTCAGTCTGCAAACTGATATTGTATCCACTGAGCCAAACCAGCTAGGGCCATAACCACTCATTTTTATTTTAAGCTTATAATCTTTTTTTTTTTTTTCTCTGCTTATGGGCAGGCCTATCCCAGTTTATCAGATTATCTGGCCTCTTTCCAGAGAGGTCTATTTCTGCAAGTGAGTGTCACTTACATATTCATTTTAACAAAATCTAAAGAGACCATGTGCTTCATTAGTAAACTTTTTTTTTAAATCATTTTATATATCTATGCTGACATGCTAATTTTTACTTTTAAATATGGACATTTCTGCTGAAAACGTATTCTAGGGGGACATTTTAGCAATCCTTAATTCTTTAGTAAAATCTCAATTATGTCATCTTAGAGAAATTATTATTGTGAATTTCTAAAAGTAATTACTTTCCATTTAAAGAATTCATACCATTAAAGTGACCCTAAAACATTTTAACGAAAGATTGCATTTTTTAAGAAAAAATTTTAAAAAGCTATTTCTCACTTACCAGATATTCACTGAATCAATAAATATTACAATGTTTCTAAAAATGACTTAAGTTGCAAAGATGCATAAAATTCAGCAATTTATATACGGATTCAAATAAATGAGAAAAATTAGTCAAAGAAAACAAGAGCAGTATAAGAAATTAGAACCAGAAGTAATAGTAGCATATAAAAATACATGTCAGAAAGCCATCTATAATAATAAAAGTGAAATATGTTAATTAGACCTGACATCCTTCAGGATGAAGTTGTGGTGGTGGGGGCCGAGCCCCTTGCATGAATGTCCTGCATCGGGCCTCTAGTAAATACAAAGAATACTTGTAGAAGATGGGTCATAAATCTGGTTGTCAACTTTTAATCATCATGTCTGAAAGGGAAAAGCAACCAGTCATGGGAGTCGCAGAATCCATAGGAAGAAACGAACAAGTTTCTCAGAAGAAGCACACATATCCCTGTTAAAGAGAGTAAGGATCAGTTGTTTTCATCTCTTGATAATGAGGGGAAATGTGATAATAAATCACAGCCTTGTGTTAAGTACTTGAGCAGGTTGTATAGGGCAAATGTCTACATTATCTTTCAATTTAGGCTAATAGCATTAAAACTATAATTTGGCAAAAAAAAAAATGCATTTTAAATTCACTGCTCTGTGGTAGATTGTGAAATCTCTAGAAGAATGAATAATGATTCTTTGTATAATTCTCCAGGTTTTTTTTTTTCTTGTTTTCAACCTGAGAAGCTTTAGAATGTTAGGAGATGGCAGGAGTATGCTCCCTGACAGCAGTCAACATTGGTATTGTCATGTGGGTGAGTTGGAATGACTGTGCCTCGTTTCTCTAACAGTGTGATGAACCTGGATGATTTGACGAGGAGAGGTCTGTACCTCAGTGACATCCCTCTGCACGACGCCACACGGGACCTCGTTCTTTTGGGAGAACAATTCAGAGAGGAATACAAGCTGACCCAGGAGCTGGAAATTCTGACAGACAGACTGCAGCTCACGTTAAGAGCGCTGGAAGATGAAAAGAAAAAGACAGACACGTAAGCCCTGTAACCTTGCACGACTGCTAGGCATAGTGTGGTTCTAGTCATGACGCCCTCTGACTGCCGAGAAGAAAAGGCCCTCAGACTCCCTGGTTTCTGTTTCTTTCCCTGTGAATTCAATCATCAGAGATCATCCTTCTCCTGTTGTGTTTCCCACACTTGTCCCCTCGGCGGGGTCCCTGAGGCCATTGTCGCAGTCTCAGGATTGACTAGAGAAACAAAATATGTTCTTGTCTAGACCAAGGTTACCAAGGTTCAGCTGTGTTGCCAGTTCCTTCCACAGAAGAGGGAGGGATGAAGGCGATTGGAGAGGAATCTGCTTCTCTCAATAGGGCTTGACAACAACGGAAATCAGTTTCTCATTCGAGAGAGAGAAGCTGCTCCCGGGGTTGTGCTGGCCATGCCGTGTTTTCAGGGCTGGCTGTGACAACTTCCATACGGTGACTATCCGAGCAGCAGAGTCAGAACACAGGGCTGGAGATGAAAACTGACTCTTCTTTGTTTGGTCTCGTGTTTGCTTGTCTTATTTTAATTTGTTTTGAATTGCTTTGACCTTGGGGAATTGTATATATACTTAAAAAAAAATCAAACAAATTATTTATACTGTCTTTTTTTTTTGACATCAAAACAGCTAACATTTCATGCTAGTTGTAGATGTTTCCCTATAAGAATTCAGGCCTTTACAGAGCAAATGATATCAATGTTCTATGAAATGGTCAATAGAAGCACTACACCTAGTCCCAGCTTTCCTTACCACAGCTTTTTCCAATCCCACTGACCAGGTTGCTGTACTCTGTCCTTCCTCAATCTGTGGCCAATGAGCTGAGGCACAAGCGCCCTGTGCCTGCGAAAAGATATGACAACGTGACCATCCTCTTCAGTGGCATTGTGGGCTTCAACGCATTTTGTAGCAAGCATGCCTCCGGGGAAGGGGCCATGAAGATTGTCAACCTCCTCAACGACCTCTACACCAGATTTGACACACTGACTGATTCCCGGAAAAATCCGTTTGTGTATAAGGCAAGTCCTGACCTGATGGGGATGCAGTGCCGTCACACCATGCCCTCTAGGGGCATTCCATTCAGTTCTCTGACTGTAGCCTCCGTAGATAGGAAGCCTCCATGTGTCCCATACTTACCATTATCTTAAATAATCACCTCTTACTATAAAGCAAGCGTGGCAAACTCAAACGCCAACACGGGCCAAATAAATGAGGCCATGGGTCTGACATGCTTGCTATAAAGCATTCTCTTTCTTGTAACCAAAATTCATGGAGCAGATGATTCCCTAGTTAAAATGTAATGTTCAGCAGCTTCTTGGCACTCACATGAACAAATTTGAGCACACGTGATATAAACATAGCATTTGTTTTTATGCTCTGAATGAGACATTACATATATTTTTAATTGATTTTTTACAGAGATAAAGAGAGAAGGATAGAGAGTTAGAAACATAGATGAGAGAGAATCATCGATCAGCTGCCTCTTGCACACCCCCTACTGGGGATGTGCCTGCAACCAAGGTACATGCCTTTGACCGGAATCGAACCTGGGACCTTTCAGTCAGCAGGCCAACGTCTATCCACTGAGCCAAACTGGTTTCGGCTATACGAGACATTCTTGCTGAAATGTATAGTAGTAAATGCTTTGTATGGTAAAGAAATCCTGTAGCGTGAGACGTGTGCTGCAACTTTAGACAGCATCAACCTGAAAATAAACATCTATGGGGCATTTCTGCCTTGGTTTCAATGAGAAGCAATGATAACATTGGAAAAACGAAGCCAGTGGAATATTGCTTCATAAAGGAAAGAATGTTAACTAAGCCATCCACGGGCATCTGGAGTAATATAAGTGCCACGAGAACTATTTATTTTATAGACATTTTCTGAGCTTCAGTGTAGCAGTTGGTGAGCAAATCATACAAATAAATGGGTAAGGACAGTGATAAATCATTGAACTTCAGGTAGTGGCTCTTGTGCCATTAAACTCTCACTGCTTGGGTGAGTTTGGGGGAGGGGAAATAAGGCAATGCGTTGTTTTACTGAATTATAAGGGTATCTGAGATGTGACTCCAGGACTCACAAGAGGAAAAATAATGCTGTGGCTACTCCTACCTGTAATCAAAGACCTCAACTGCTTTGTGTGTACATTTCACATAATGACAAAGTTTCAGGTTGTTGTTGTTAAAGTTTTTACAGAACTAAGAGGAAGGAAGTTTAAAGTTATGGCTAGCCTTGGACAAGTAATTTTTTTTTGTATAGGAATCGCAAATGAAACAGTCATATTTATGCTAACCAATAAACATCTGTCTGTGCTCTGTTAGGTGGAGACTGTTGGCGATAAGTATATGACAGTGAGTGGTTTACCAGAGCCGTGTATCCACCATGCACGATCCATTTGCCACCTGGCCTTGGACATGATGGAGATTGCTGGCCAGGTTCAGGTAGATGGTGAATCTGTTCAGGTTAGTAAACAAAATGGGTATCACACTTGTGGCAGTAGACAACCTCTGTAGACAACCGATTCATATTCTTGATCAGTCACAACTTATGTACAAGGACGGCTATCTTTACAGCAAAGACTGAAATATTTTAAAGAATCCATTGTATTACATTTTTTCATAGAGATGGCACATCTCTCCACTTATCTGAAACTACTTAGTCTACCCTGTGTACTGACAGTTATGAGAATGAGATAAAACCTCCTTTCCCTTCTATTTTTTTTTTTCCATTTTTCTTAAAATCTCTTTCTGTGTCTCATAAGTTGCCAGAGTCACATTTTTGAAATCTTAGGTCTTTAGAAAGGGAATGTTTCTCTTGGAAGACAGATTTTGTGATGGTTTTTATATTTATACATTTGGAGTTTTGGTAGAGAATTCTTCTGATTTTTGTACAGTGACTCTACATTATTCTGTAATACAAAATAAATAACTATTAGTGAGTCAGTGGTCAAAGTTACTGAAGCAAAGCTTTGATTTCCGCAGATAACAATAGGGATACACACTGGAGAGGTAGTCACCGGGGTCATAGGCCAGAGGATGCCTCGCTACTGTCTTTTTGGGAATACTGTCAACCTCACCAGCAGAACAGAAACCACCGGAGAAAAAGGAAAAATAAACGTGTCTGAATATACGTACAGGTAAGAGAACGCGTCTGGATATTTACTGATTTGAAAGGAAAATGTCTGTTTGCATGTGGTTCCACTTTCTGAGTGAATTTTGTACCGTTTAGCAATTGTCACCTTCACTCTTAGGACTGTTTAATATGTATTTGAGAAGATTGCATCATTATTCTCACTTTAAATGTTTTCATATCACCTCAGAAATTCCAGATATGATCAACACTCCTAAAATCTTGAACTACCGTTAAGCGCAGTTTTAGTGTGTGGTCCTTGCTGTCTCTGTAACTTTGGTACTTGCCACTTCCTCTCTCCATGCAACTATACTCCCCCTAATTCTCCCCCTTCTCTCTGCCCGCTGTCTTTCAGATGTCTTATGACACCAGAAAATTCAGACCCACAGTTCCTCTTGGAGCACAGAGGCCCAGTGTCCATGAAAGGCAAGAAAGAACCAATGCAAGTTTGGTTTCTATCCAGAAAAAACACAGGGACAGAGGTATGACTCATCAGAGGCTAATTATTTTTTTTTCAAGACAGTGTATAAAAACGGGGAGGTAAATCTTAATCACTGAAAACATGTATCATTTGAAAGGAATTCTTGTTTCCAGAATTGAACTTTTAAGTAAAGCGGCCAAAATACTGCACTATCAGTGAGCCAGTTAGAAAAATAAACACAGCATGTCCCCCCCAAAATGTATACACACTTTAACAGCTGATAGCTCGATTTTGAAAATGAAATGTATTCGAATAAACACCATCTTTACAATTGTTCAAAATCTGTGTATACGTTTTTGGAGGCACCCTATACTTCTTAAGGGATACTTTGCGGTTGCTGGCTTTTGAAATTAAAACCAAAATCACTGGATGGAGAAGACCTGTTTTTTTGTTTTTCCTCTGTCAACTGGCTCAAACACAAGTGAGATGAGGGGAATCCCCGGGCTTTCTTTCCTCAACTCAGAGAGGAAGGGAGAGGGAGAGAAAGAGAGAGAAAAACATCAATGATGAGAGAGAATAGTTGATCAGCTGCCTCCCAAATGCCCCCTACTGGGGATAGAGACCACAACCTGAGCATGGGAATCAAACTGTGACCTCCTGGTTCATAGGTTGATGCTCACCACTGAGCAACACCAACTGGACAACCATGAGGTTTTAGATCCTTCTACGGGCCAAGGATCTCCCTGTGGAATGTTTTGGGGGAATCTTTGGCAATTCTGGTCCCTTGGGTGTTTTACCTACAGAGAAGAGTGATTTATACTTTTCCAGAATGTAAATGGAAGCTTTAGGTTCATGTTAGCGCTGTGATTGTCCTCCAGCCAGAACCCACGTGCTGGAGTGGACCTCAGAACCCTGGCCCCAGAGCTGAAATCCCATGACTGCCAGTGAGCTTGCGCACATGCAGGTCAAGTCCAGCCTTTCCCACTCAGTGTGTGGCATCAGAAACTAGTTATGCACTCTGCTCCCCTATTGATGTGTTGGTTCTGTAGAAGGGGTGAGACCACTTGATTACATTTCTTTTCCTATATGTATACATCCCCTGAAAATGCTTTTAGAGTATAACAAGTCCTGAAAGGAATAGAATGCCAAGTTTTAAAATATTTATCTTTACCCTCTTTCAGCTGTTTTTTACTTTAAATAATTTACTTCTGGGGTTGGCATGCTTACTGATGTTTTCTGATAAGTTTAACTGTACCTCAAGTGTTGATCCTTGTAGTTGGGTGGCCCTCTTTTACCCAGAGTTTTGGTGGGAATGCTTAGAAAAAAAGGTAGACAGATATGACAGATATGCAGGTCCCACTCTTAAAGAAACAATTTTTTGAAGGGTTCTGTCAGCTTTATCATCACTAAAATGAATCCCTTGTGTCTTCCACTTCCCAAGGAAACAAGCCAGGATGACAACTGAATCTTGGACTGTGGGAGAAAGACTGGGATTAGGTTCCGGTTATCCCCTAACCTATGGCAAGCCCAGGAACATTGTTACCCTACGGATACAAATTCTTGTTTTGTCTTTTTCAGTGATCCCAAGCCTTTCTCTTAGGTATATCTTTCACTACTCATTACTAAACTTGAGCTCTGCTTTGGATTCTTATCGAGGTTTAATATGTTATCTAAAGTTCGGCTTTAGATGTGGATGATATGTGCTTCACGTGTCTAAAATCTACTACAAGTATTACTCAACATGGAAATTTGCAAGTAGTAAGCACCCAATACGTATTGGTTGAATTTAGTTAAATGAAACTGAGTGGTATTTGGCCTTGTGTGTACAGACCATGGTTGACCAAATCTGTTTCATGCTTCATATATATAAGTACATGTATATTTTAATGACTATAATGTATAACAAACTTTATATCATGATGGTGTATAGCATTATAAGAATCATTTTTTTAAAGGAGTGGATTGTAAGTTTTAGGGAGAAAAAAACGATTTATTTTCAGATTCCCAAAGTAAAGATTAGTATATCATGCTAAGAAAATAGGGACTATTTTGAAGTGTGTCAATTTCCCTTCAGAAATCTAGAACACACATGTCTGTTGTTAAAATATCTGGTTGCTCATTCAAATCATGTGGCAGTTACAATCCCTGTGAAATGCTATTGTTTGTATTGTATGTCTTGCATTAAACCTCATTAAGGATGCGCAGTGGCCACAGAAAGCTGCACTCTTCCCCAGTAAGCTATGACAGTGGCTCGGGATACAGGTTCAGGCCTCTAACCACTTCCAAGAATAAAGCTGGGGCACTCGGTCAATCAGAGCCACTCCTGGCCTTTTGTTCTCAGAAACTAACTTCTTTTTCTTAGTTTAGAAGGATGTGATTATATCGAGGGCATCATGTTCACATAACTTAGTTTAATTGCAACGTAGAATGCATTCCTATTGGAATAATTGGCCTGTTCTTCAATGTCTCCATAATTTATTAATGTCTATCTTTACAAATTGTAGTGCGACTACTTTTGTGTAAAAATGTCTTTAAATTGAGTATTTCATATCAACACATCAATATATGTATAGATGTTCCATGTTAATGTGTAAAAGAATCTGCAATAAATTATTTTTTCCACTTGTCTCTCGACAGTTTTTATATCAACAAACATGATATGGATGTTGTCATTTTATTAATGCTATTTTTGTACATACATTTTATGATTTTACTATTGTAAAGATAAAATCAATTTAGACTCATTGCTCTTATAAAGTTTAACGCTCCTATTAGATAGTCATATTCTAAAATGCGATTTTTCTTTAGAACTGACAAATATGACAGAAATAAGACTAGATCTGGCAAGGGGGGTGAAGGAGGAAAAGAATATACAGATTAATATGCAATGACAGCAGCTCTTGAAGTGCTCACAGTCTTTTAGGAATGAAAGACACGTATACAGATAATAAAAAATATGTGATATTCATAGTGATAAAACATACTCAAGATAAGGAAAAGACTACATAGAGAAAGAGAGAGGGGAGGGAGCACAGGGTGGGGTAAGAATAGGAGAAGATAGGGAGGCCAGTTGGATTTTATGGTGCTCTAGTTTAAAGATGAATTAGTGCCATAAAGTAAGGACCTGCATCTCTTCGTAGCTGTGGATGAATAAGGGGCCACATACTAAACTTGACAAGCTCAGGGAAGGCATAGCAGGCCTTATAAATTCAGAGACTGAAATTAACCACATAGGATGGTCTGAACATAAAAATTCCTACCTAAAGGTAGGGCATGGAGAGTAGTCACGACTTAGGCCTGCAGCTTCTTTGACAAAGGTCTGTCTTTATCTAAGTGAACCTGTATACTGTGTTTTTGCACCTAAGATAACATACCTTTGAAATGTCAAAGTAGTCTTTTTCTGATCCTTGGGGCACACCCACCTCACCAGAGCAAGACGCCACAGAACCCCTCATTGCTATCTTGTTCCCAGAATACCACCCCCATGTGCTGTAAATGTTCATGGTTAAGTATCCTATACCCACCATGTAAAAGAAGTATTTGTCTCCCCATTTTACTTTTCATCCAACCCCAGTGACTACGTTGCTTTGCTTTCTCCTGCCTCCTTAATCTACCACCAATGGATTTCATGTATCCCTCCTAAATCTCCTCCTTTGATTCTAATCCTATATAATAAAGAGGGAATGTACAAATTGACTATCTCCGTCACAAAGATGGTTGCACCCACAGCTGAGGCCAAGTTCCCATAGGAGCCTTAACCAGCAATCAGCAGGGACCTGAGGCTACACCCTCCCCCGCCCCCTTGGAGCTTGACAGGGGACCTCAGGCCATGCCCCCACACATAGTGGGGCTGCCTCTACAACAGTGCTAAAGGGGGAGTGGGCCTAAGCTGGCAGTCAGACAGCCCCCGAGGGCTCCCAGACTGTGAGAGGATGCAGGCTGTGCTGAGGGAACCCGTCCCCCCACCCCGCCTTGAGTGCACAAATTTTGTGCATCTGGGCCTATAATATATTCATAAAATCCTGAAAAGATCAAGTTGTAGAGCTTCCAGATTGGCGTCCAGTGAGGATGCGGAGAGAGTGGTGCCTGCAGAGGTGGGGGCACAGAGGCTCTGCACCCTTTCCTCACACTTTTTGCCCCATGCATCTCTCCCATCTCACTGTTCCTGAGTTAATAGGCTTTTAAGTGAGCAAACTATTTCTCTGAGCCTGTGTGCCATGGTAGCAGGTTAATCAAGCCAAAATCAGGTGTTATAGAAATCTTATATGTGTAGCAGGTGGGCGAGAAGCACAGGAGATGGCCTACACTTACAACTGGCCCCTGAAGTGGGGGGCAGTCTTCTAGGGCTAAACTCTTCAACTGTGGAATCTGACACTATCTCCTAGAACACTGATTTTCAACCAGTGGAATTTTAGGGAATTTTAAAGCATGCAATATGCATGGCAGTGTGGCTCAGTGTTTGAACATCGACCAGGAGGTAATCGTTCAGTTTCCAGTCAGGGCACATGCCTGAGTTGCAGGCTCGATCCCCAGTGTGGGACATATGGGAGGCAGCCAATCAAGATCCTCTCTTATCAGGGATGTTTCTCTCTCTCGCTTTCCCTTCTTCTCTGAAATCAATAAAAATGTAATTAAAAAACAAGCAAACCTGCAATACCTGACTATTTAATCAGGGACACTAACCTCTTTTCCTAGATTGTCAAATAAAAAATAAAAAAATAACACCAGCCAACACAACAATAGCATTCCAGTGTGAATGAATAAAAATTATACCCCTTTTTTTCAGATTGGCAATATAGGTATATTTTGGTGTACCGCAGAATTTTGGGAATTATTGTAGTTTATGTGTTCCATGAGATGAAAAAGGTTGGAACTCACTATCCTAGAAGATAGTGTCAAAATTGAGTTGAATTGTAGGACACCCAGCTCGTGTCATGGAAAGTGTTTGGAGGTGTGTGTTTGTATGTGTGTGTTGCGGGGGGGGGGGGGGGGGGGGGAGGGGGGAGAGGAAGCCCAAATTATAAATGGGTACAGAGAAATCATTACTTATCTGCTTATGCCTAAGTACTGCAGCCTTCACTAAGGACTCATAGAACCTCTGGGGGGCAGCAGAGAGTGGTTTAGAATGCAAGTCAGGAAAGAACAGGGAAAGACACATGATGTCTTCTAGAAGTGCATTTCACCATCTCTGCTCCCAACTGACGGGCACTTCCTGTGTGCAACCTTGAATCCATCTCTTCCATCAGCTCCCAGGTTCAAAGGAATGTCATAAAAATAACTATCTCTAATCTCTTTTGTCCATTTGTGTAACATGAAATTCATTCACACATACCTAGTTCAGAATTTCACCCAAATATTTCCTCTGAAATCTTAGGAAGCCATGTACACTTGTTAAAACAGGCACTTTGTAATAGAAATGATTTGGACAGAATAATTGTAGGCAAACTAAGTTTCATGTAGTTCATGTTAAAAGCTATACACCACAAATATGAGAGTACTGTATATTTACAAGGAGAAAATTGGAGAACCCCTCATTTTGCATTGTTTTAATTTCTGAACCTTGAGGCATTTATACAACTAGATTTGGGGTTGTTTATATAAGCCACACTGGCATTACAACTACATTAGCCTAATGGCCTTTTTGTTTAATGAATTTAACACCAGCCACTTTTCTAGTGCTCAGTGGTCACATGAAGCAGATGGCTATCATGGGGCAGTTCAGGTCTAGATATATGGGCAACTGATTAGATTTTACATAAAAAAATGAGTCATCTTAGATATTTTATTGTTTTGGTTCCTCATCAACACATTGAATCACATCGTGCTATTTCTAAAAACAAAACAAGAAAGGTATCTAAATAGTTTAGAATGAAAGTGGTCATTTGATAAAGAAATAGAAGGTATATGCTTATACTTTTTTTCATTTTGTTTGCTTGTTTTATTTATTTATTTATTTATTTATTTATTTATTTATTTTTATTAAGGTATTATATGTGTACATACCTTACCAACCCCCCCCCAATACACGCCTACCCTCTCCAGAGTTTTGTGTCCATTGGTTATGCTTATATGCATGCATACAAGTCCTTAGGTTGATCTCTTATCTCACCCACATCTCCCTACCCTCCCCACTGTAATTTGACAGTCTGTTTGTTTCTTTACTGTCACTATATCTATCTTTTTGTTCATCAGATTATAATGTTTCTTATTATCCATAAATGAATGAGATCATGTAGTGTTTTTCTTTCATTGACTGGCTTATTTCACTCAGCATAATGTTCTCCAATTCCATCCAGGTTGCTGCAAATGATAAGAACTCCTTCTTTTTTATGACAGCATAGTATTCCATTGTGTTATATTATCCAGGCGTCTTCAAACTACGGCCCGCCGGCCACATGCAGCCCGCAGAGGAGTCTGATCCGGCCCACCAGGTTTTTTGGGCAGTGAGCGCAGCCGAAGTGTTACAGTAGGAATTAGTAGTTCATATAGTCCGGCCCTCCAGCTCTCTGAGGGACCGTGATCTGGCCCCCACTTTAAAAAGTTTGAAGACCCCTGGTAGATGTATCATAGTTTTTTTATCCAATCATCTGCTGACTGTTTCCAAATCCTAGCTATTGTACAATAGATTGTGCTGCCATGAACATAGTGGCGCATATATCCTTTTTGATTGGTGTTTCTACTTTCTTAGGATATATTCCTAGGAGTGGGATTACTAGGTCAAATGGGAGTTCCATTTTCAGTTTTTTGAGGAAACTCCATACTGTTCTTCACAGTGGTTGCACCAGTCTGCATTCCCACCAGCAGTGCACAAGGGTTCCTTTTTCTCTGCATCCTCGCCACTACTTGTTGTTTGCTGATTTGTTGATGATAGCCATTCTGGCAGGTGTGAGATGGTACCGCATTGTCGTTTTGATTTGCATCTCTCAGATAGTGACTTTGAGCAAGTTTTCATGTGCCTCTTGGCCTTCTGTCGGCTTTTGAAAAGATTCTATTTAGGTCCATTGCCCTTTTTTTTTTTCATTGCCCATTTTTTAATTGGATCATTTATCTTCCTTTTATTAAGTTGTATAAGCTGTCTGTAGATGTTGGATATTAAACCTTTATCAGTGATAACATTTTTATTTGAATTTTTAATGTACTAGAGGCCCATTTTTATTTGAATTTTTAATGTACTAGAGGCCCAGTGCACAAAATTCATGCATGGGTAGGTTCCCTAGCTATTGCTGGCCACTGTTCAGGGCCTCCCTTCCCCAGCTACAGGGACCTGCCTTCATTCCACACTGCCTCCTGGTGGTCAGCACATGTCATAGCCAGTGATGGAACTCCCAGTTGGTCAAACTCCTGAAGGGACACTTTGCATATTAAGCTTTTATATATATATAGACAGTTTTGAATAAAGCATTTCTTCTAAACTTAAATATCTTGTACATATACAGATGGTTATTAAGAAGAGTAATAAAGGAAAATTAATTCTCAGGAATTTTTAGGAAAATATTTAAGGAAAGGAAATTAGCCCTTTTTAAATGTTATTAACATTAGCAACTTAATGTCTTGAGATTATAAAGGTCCTTGAATTTTCACTTGACAATTCTTTTGCAAATTCTGCATAAGCAGCAATTATAAAGT